GATGCATCAGTGGAACATTCCACCAAGAATTCGTCATCTTCTAGATCATACATAGAGACTTCTCGCACTGGTGCGGCAAAGTTCTCTTGCGTCCAGACATCTTCCTTGGTATCAAATGTTTCGTCATCATCGTTGGGGATGGGGAGTAGGTCGGGGATAGGAAGAATGGGTGGTGCTTCTTCGTCAACGATTTCTTTGATGGTCGCTTTTGGATAAACGACAGGGGTTTTGATAACTGGTGCTTTCCTAAGTTTAGATTGTTTCCAGGTTTGATTGATGGGTTCTTGTCGAAATAGAAGTGGAAGGTCATTCTTCTTCCTTTCTTTGTCGACTTCTTCTTCAACTTGATTACTCTTCTCCGTTCGAGAAAGGACGAGGGTTTCGGCTGCCCAGTCAATAACTGGGTTTATAGCCCATAGCCAGGGAATTCCAAGGAGAATTTGGTCCCTTCTACCGAGGCGTGTGACGTTGAACTTTCCAATCATGGTTCGTTTGTCAATCTTGATAGTAAGGACGCAGTATCGGTGTATGGCTCCGCTTTTGGAGTAGCTTCCAGTCGGCGGTAGTAACCCTAAAGGGTTTACTGAGAGCGTGAGTTCGGATTTTGTGCTTCTTGACGAAGTCTTCGGAGATAAAGGTTCCGGCTGCTCCGGAGTCGACAACTGCGGTGGTTTCAACGGTTTTCAGACGTGTTTTCGAAATTAGGGAAAGGGGAACCCGGAGTTCTTTTCGTTCACCAACTTTTCATACAAGTCTTATGGGTACATTGAGAGATACTGACGTTGATCCAGTCTCCCATATCAAAAATCCTCATTGAGATGACGGACTTCCGCTTCTTCTTCTTCTTTGTCACTGTCTTCTACTTCTTTGCGGCATATCGGGGTCTTCCTTTCTTCTTCTCGGGACAATTCTTAAAAAGATGTCTGGTCTTGTGACAGGTAAAACATTTTCCGGTCCGGAAATGTTCAGCATGTTCTTCTTCAGAAAGCTGATCAATCACCATGGCATTGGGATCCTTAGATGGTACGTATCGGTTAGATCCAAAGTTCTTCTTCTGGGGTTGGTGGCGTGCTCTGATAGTGTTCAGGTGAAGGCGTGCGTTGTCGAGATTGATACAGGTGGTAAGGACGACTTCAAAGTCATCAGAGACATCGCCCATGCCATAGAGGCGAGTGAGCAGTCCTGGGTGTAATCCGTCCAAGAAGAATTGCTTCTTGGAGACATCATCGCGAATTCCTGCCCTCTGTGTGAGCATCAAGAATTCCGAAATATAATCTTGGAGTTCGGTTCCTTGTTTCAGGTTGCGAAGCTTAGCTAACGCGGTTCCTGAGGGATCAAGCGGTCTAAACGCTTTCTTGAAATCGGTGAAGAATTCAACCCATGTGCTGTATCCTTTGGCGGTTCCTGCGGTAACCTTGTTGTTGGGATCTTGCGCCTGCCTGAGGAAATCTTCCTTCCAATAGCGCACGTTTCCTTCGTTCATGAAGGAAGTTATGAAAATAATTTTCTGTTTGTCGTTGACATAGATCTTCTTGTTGATATTGAGGTAAGACGTGCACGACATCAGGAATCCTTCCGACTTGTCTCTATCTCCATCAAAGATTGGTGGGGATCCGATTTTGATTTCAACAGGTTTGGGGGAAGACATTGGGGGGTTCAGAGTGGTATGGGTGGTACAGCACCTAGGTTCAAAGCGCCAAAGATTGGTGTTAATGACGTCAGCTTGTTTCAGCTTTGGGGGACCTGGAGCTCTATCTGTCGTGATGACCAGGGTTTTGTTCTTTCTGGTTACAGTGTGTGATGGCGATGTATTCATTGAAGACTTTAATCTTTTGTTACGAACTAGGATGGTTCTGACGTTTGGCTACTCGATAAGAGTAATCGGCCAAGGTTGGTTCAAAGCTTCAGTATATGCCGAAGTTCAATGGTTCACTAAGACAAGACAAGAAGAGTGTCCTTGACTTGAATCGAGTTTCAGACGACTTAAGATTGGAGGTCTTAAGCGAAGGAAGTTCCAGGTAAAACCTAGTAAGATTAAGAGCCCCTTCAGTGACAAATCCCATATTATACGGGTCACCCGACCTACATAATATCCCGTGTAATACGGGCCAGCGGATTATGGGCCGGTGTTATGTATATTCCCGATGTTGACGGGTGGGCCGGGAGGCATATTATTTCCGATGGAGATGGGTGGGCCCATCTATGCTGATGTTATATATATCATCAACGATAGCGGATGGGCCAGGAGAAATATTATTATGGAGATGGGTGGGCCCATGTGGGTAATATGTAGAGTAGGATTGACATATATTATAGACCTGAGGAGAGATGTATAGCAAATAGTATTATATAGATGTGTGGGCTGACGTATTAGTATTATTTTGTAGACTGGATGGGCCGAGGGAGCGGTGAAATATTTATTAGATAGACGGGTGGGCTGACGTGGGGTAATATCAGATAGACGGGTGGGCCGAGGGTGAGGGGAATTATTTATTACATAGACGGGTTGGCCGATGTGGGGTAATATAGATAGGGTGGCTGAGGTGAGGTGAGTATTATTAGATAGACGGGTGGGCCGACGTGGGGTAATAATAGATAGACGGGTGGGCCGAGGGTGAGGGGAATTATTTATTACATAGGCGGGTTGGCCGACATGGGGTAATATCAGATAGACAGGTGGGCCGAGGGTGAGGGGAATTATTTATTACATAGACGGGTGGGCCGACGTGGGGTCATATTAGATAGATGGGTGGGCCGACGTGGGGAATTCTACATAGATGGGTGGGCCAACGTTGGGTAATATTAGATAGACGGGTGGGCCAAGGGTGAGGTGAATTATTTATTAGATAGACAGGTGGGCCCAGATACATATCATATAGACAGATAGGCCTAGGTATTGTGCATTTTTACGAGTCTCGAGTCTCGAGTTAAGAAAATTCAAATTTAAGATGATATACATTTTTGTTGTCTTGAAATACCGAGACCCGAGACCCGAGATTCGGCACTCGGTAGTTGGTGAAATGAGTACAGAAATACATAAGATAATACACATTGTTCTCAGAAATCACAAGTTTCAAATGTCGATTTGTAAATCACAAGTCACAAGTCTCGAGACTCGAATCTCCGAGTACCGAGTACCGAGAACCGAGTACCAACACCCGACACCCAGAATTCGGCACTCGGCACGCGAGACGAAAGATTGGAAACAAAACTCAAAATTCGAAACTCGAAAGTACTGACTACCGAATACCAAGTACCGAGTACCGAATCTAGGGTCTCGGTACTCGGTATTCAGTACTCGACACGATGCTCGAAACTTGTAAAACTGTTTCAAATCACTGAGTACTGACTACTGAGTACCGAGTGCCGAGACCCGAGATTCGGTACTCGGGACTCGGTACTCGACACGATGCTCAAAACTCGTAAAACTGTTTCGAATCACCGAGTACTGACTACTGGTACCGAGTGCCAAGACCCGAGATCTCGGGTCTTGGCACTCGGTAGTCAGTACTCAGTGATTCGAAACAGTTTTACGAGTTTTGAGCATCGTGTCGAGTACCGAGTCCCGAGTACCGAATCTCGGGTCTCGGCACTCAGGTACTCGGTAGTCAGTACTCGGTGATTTGAAACAGTTTTATGAGTTTTGAGCATCGTGTCGAGTACCGAATACCAAGTACCAAGACCCGAGATTCAAGTGCTTTCGAGTTTCAAGTTTCAAATCTGTCGTCTCAAGTCCCGAGTGCCGAATTCCAGGTCTCGGGACTCGGGACTCGGAACTCAGTGACTCAATCAATGGACTGGCAGAGGTTACATTCATTGAAAACTTGTATATACATCTATCACTATGCAATTATGTAGCCATGTCAACCTCCACAGAAGACTCTTCAACCTTCACCTCCACCTCAACATCCATGTTGCTGGAAGAGTCATATTCTGGGACAAGGTTGCTTGGATCACCTGGGTCCACAATTTCGCCAGACGCATCTGGATCCCCTGGATGAACAACTTGGTTGTAGTCGAACAGGAGACCCTCAATGGCAGAGGCATCCGGGAATGTCGGGGCTGCAGGTGTGGGAGCCATTGTTTCCATACTGAGATCAATCAGAGGAGGGAGTGCGGATTCTGGGGGGTGACATGGTGCGGGGGCCGGATTGATCAAGCAACAAGGATGTTGCAGGGGCAGGAGTGTCGGGAAGTGGGAATGAGGGGTGCTGGTCGATGATTTTGCGCCTAAGGCCTTCATGAAGGCGTTGCAGGGTGTCAATCTTACCATCCTGCTCTGCCACATGAGCCTCGAGAAGAGCGATTTGAGCTGCACCGTCTCGAATCGCAATGGACATGGCATGGAGATCTGGCATAGGCACCCCAAGTGCTGCAGCAGGCACTGCTGACCTGGAAGACGGAAGGGCTACAAGGGAAAATGAAGGTCAGACGGTGAAGAATGAAAAACTCGGGTGACTTACGAGCTGGTGCAGGTGCGGGTGCAGGTGCAGGTGCCTTGACGGCAGTGATAGTCTTGCTGCGACCACGCGTCTGGGTCTTGGGAGTGGTCACAGCAGTGACACCAGAAGTTCCGGCCCGGCCACGAGACTGACTGCGAGTTCGGGCCCTGGACTGGGAGGCAGGGGAAGCTTTGGAGGGGGCGGGAGTTTGGGATGTGGGGGGAGCCTTGGAGGGAGTCTTGGAGGAAGCCCTGGATGGTGTTCTGGACCTCGTCTTCCGGGTAGTAGAGGAAGAACGATCACGAGGAGGCGGGGATCCCATAGTCGCGGGGGTGCACTTGATCTTCTTTGTTGTGCAGTAGACGCATGACATACATGGAGCCCCGGTCCTCTTGTCCGGCCGAGTTGCGCAAGGCCAGTTGTGCTTGTGGCAAGCATAGCATGGGTTGTTCTGTTGGTTGTATTTGTGTATGGACACTTGAGATATTTCAAAGTACTCACCGGTCCGGGAATGAGAATGTCAACTGCAGGGATGACTGGGGGTGCCTGCACCAGAGGTTAGGGAGTGGGCTGGGAGGGCTCCACAACTGCTGTGTGACTGCTGGCAATCACCTGGTACAATGTAAGCACACACCCGAGTCCCAGACGCATACATGACACTTACTGTGGCAGGGCCAAAGGGCTTCTTCTTGGGTACCCAGGGCGAGCGAGGCGAATCAGGCGTCCTTGCGACAATTGTGGAGAGCCTGGGAAGGACGACCTCCGGCACTCCACCCAAAGGTGGCTACACGAAAATGAGAGACAATGAAAAAATGAACAAGACAACATACCTGCATAACCGAGTCGTCATCATCTTCCGACTCCACGATGGCCTTGGACTTCACAACGCGAGCAGACCTCTGACGCTTGTGACTCTTCATCGCGGATTTCGGGGGTTGGGAGGAGAGTCCAGAAATCAAGGGGGACTTCCTCTTCTTACTCCCTTCTGCCTCGGGGTCTGGGTCAGCGAAGACGGCCTTACCTTTCCCCTTGTCCCGGGACTCGGTGGTGGGGTTGGTGGAAGGGCCGGCGACATTGCTGGCAGGGATGGCTGGGGAGGGATGATTGACAGGAATCGGACCTGTGGATGGGGGGGCAGCAGTTGGGAGATCAAAGGTCTGGTCGCCTAAGGCGTTCCAGGCGAGGACCTTGGGGTACCAGGTGTGCCTAAGAATGCGAGGATTGTCATACCCAATGGAGTGCCAGTCTGGCCAGACCTTGGGAACCATGTTCCGAATGCGCTGGAGCTCTTTGGAGCACGAAATGATGAGGCCGGGAATAGGACCATCCCCAGACCCATACTCCTTGGCTACATCAGACTACCAAGATGTTAGAGAAGAAAAAGCACCCAAACGAAAAACATACCACAAGTGTAGCAACCTGTTTTCCCAAAGCTGAGTGGCTGGGACCCGGGGGAATCTGCCGGGCGGCACTGATGATGGCCATGATCTGGGCAGCGGATGCCTTGAGATGGGTCAAAGAGTTGTCAACTGGAGTGGACATGATGAGTGGGTTGAGAGATTTAAAGATCTTGAAATCAGTTATCAGAAAGATGAAGTTTCAAACAAACAAGACATTTGATGGGCGATCCACAAAATCGTTTATTGTTTGTGTTTGTTTGGTCGTGGTTCAACTTTCGGCAATTGCCGGCTTTGTGTTGAACTTCGAAGTTTTTTAGATCATCAGTCAATCAGTCCACCAATTCTCCACACATGAGTGCCCATCCAGCCGTTAGATTTAATGACCCACTGGTGACCAACTATAATTCTATGGATGTGGATGGCTCATCTATGGGCCGGGCATCACTAGGTATGTTGTATTCTTATCATGCCTTATCTATTCACCGGGGACTCGATGTTCAATGCTCGGGACTCAACGCTCAATAGTCAGGACTCGGTGTTTGACAAATCTCGGGGTTCGGGACTCGAGGTTCGATAGTCGGGATTCAATGTTTGTGACTCAATAGTCGGGACTCAATAATCGATATTCACTAGTGGGGACTCTGCATATCATATTAGGTCTGATATATGAAAGTTACACATTGACATGTAAATACAAGCAGGTAATGGCAGGCAGGGTAGTATCAGCCCATTACTTCTTTCCCCTTGCTCTCGTCACTCAAGTGCTTGTGTCCAAGGGCTGCTGTGTTGACTTACTCCGGGTTGTCCTCACCGATGGCTCAATCACCGCTTTCCTTCCCCGCATGTTCTTCGGCGCCGGCGACCTATTGACTCGTTCGTTTGCACCATCCTCCTGAATATTGCGAGTGACTCTCGCAGTCAGCCCAGTCAGGAGGTCGCCCATTCGTGATGTCAGCAGTGCACCAGTCTTCCCTGCATTGACCGGGCGAGGCTGTGGAATTGCATGTGGGACCGCTGTCCCTTCATGTGCTGTCAAAGGACCAGGCTCTGTTCTGGGTCTCTTTTGCGGGGATCTACCTTCCTCTGTGTCATCATCAGCATCATCCTCCATGTGATGAGTGTTGTCCTCAGGATTGCTCTCTGGATCACTCTCGTGATTGGCCTCGGGATCACTGTCAGTTTCGGTCGATGAATTCCGAGGCCTTCGGATCATAACTCGTCTGGCATTACGAGTCCGATGAGAAGGTGAATTTCCAGATACAACCGAGGCTACCATGTCCCCATCTCTGTTCCTCCATGCTTTGAACAGGAATGTTGGACCTTCGCCTTTCTCCTGCAGAGCATACCAGAAATTCAGTAAGGCGGTCATGTCCCAATGTTGCAACTTCGAAGGCTCCTTCAAGTCCACATCCGCCGGAAGATACGTTCTTGCCACAAAGTCATCCTGACTTTGTACGATGGCGCTCCATGGCACAACTGCCTTGACAATCCCAGAACAGATACCTGTATAAATGCATTCAACAAATGTTCGTGTGTTGGTGTGTTGTGACAACGGACTCACGATAGTGCGATGTGAGAAATGCTCTGACGATGGCTTTCTTCTCCTCGAGTTTCGTCTCGGTGATGTCAGGAAGCACCGGCATCCCATCCCCATCGATTTCGAGTTCGAAAGCAGGCTTCCTGATTCTCTTTCGACCTCCATTCACCTGTCGCCCACCATCTCGTGCCCCAGCACCTATCATGACAAAGATCAACCAATTCATTCCAGTAGCCAGAGATCAAACACTCACAGAATTGTTCCTGCGCGTACTCCTGCCAAACTGGCTCAATGTCCTCCCAGTCCTTCGTCTTCATGAAACTTTCCCCATCTCCTAATGCCTCGTTATCATCGTGCCTGCATGAAATGTATTGAGATTGAAGATCTGCGACAATCTGCGATGACAAAATTGACTTACATCCCGAACAGCACCTCTCCCTGTTCATTCTTCCATGCCGACATCACAAACACTCTCATCCCGCATTGCCTCCACATCTCCTTCGAAAAGTGCTCCATATACGCCGGTCCCTTCTTACGAGCCACTTGTGCTTGTATCTCGGGAGGAGGAAAGTTGCTGGACCATTCTTTGGCCGTGTCTTTCTCCTTCTCCAACTCATCATCGGACAATTCAGCCATGACTCTTTTTACAGCCGCCTGATAATGCTTGAACATACCGGGACCTCCTGGCTTTGCCCCGGACTCGTCCTCAATCCTCTTCAGCACCTCCTCCCGTTTCTGCTGGTAGATCACCTGCCTAGGAGTCCATTTCCTCCCATACTTTATCATGTCCTTCCTCTCCTTCTTTTTCTGGTTGTTGAACAACCATGTCTTGTACATCTGAGAGTTCATGGAAGAATAAGATGTTAAAATTTTATTTTTGAATGAAGCAAGGATGAATCACCTGCTTCCTCTTCTTCCATTGTGCTTGGTCGACCTTGGGAGCAAATAGCCTGGCAGCCCTAGCTATGGCAGTGAAAACTGGCCTCTTCTCAATCCTTTTTGCTGAAGTCCACTCAGGAAGGTAGTTCTTCAACTCTGAAATTTCATTATCCGTGAGCTTCTGTGTCTGTGGTTGATGCGCCCTATGTCTTCCAGAAGTGGAAGTCAACTGAGTGGAATGACCTGATCTTGCCATTGTGAATGAGATTGCAGAAAGGGCTGAGGATGAGCAAGGTGGAAGTAATAACGGTGACAAGTTCAACTTTGAGCAAAGCCTAACAGTTGGTTAATCAACCCATATTGGACGCAATTCCATTATTGGAAATGAATTTGTAATGACGCATCAAGACCGCATAAGATCACATTGCAATAACAATTTATTCGCATTCCTGAGCTCGTGCTTTGCTTGCAGCCTTAGAAAATAACATGAAGATAGGTAGATGCACCCCACTGCAAAGATCCCACAGGGTAGAAGCAAGGGGAAGCAGAGGTAGGAAAATTTGGGTCAAGGTCCCACTTGCAAGCACAAAAAGACGTGCATACAGGTCCATGCCTAGCTCTCCCCCAGAATCACCAACACTTCGGCCTGTTGAGGCACCACCTCTTTGGGAAGACATTCCTGACAATACTTACGAGCAAGACCAAGGCTCATTTGAGCCTTTGCAACTCCCAAAAACCATGGCAAGTTCATGTAAAATGTTGCATTGCAATTCAAATGATAGCTAAGTATAACAAATCCAGAGTCAGAATGACTACCTCAGGCAATGGCTGCCAAGGCAGAAATCATATCTGCATCACCTCCTGGATCGAGAAGCTCCACCAGAAGATAGGAGATGCGTCGTCTGCGACCAGGATGGGGTCTACAAATGTCAAGATTGTCTTGGGGAGCCACTCTATTGCACTGGCTGTTGCAGAAGTCAACATCTTTGCAATCCCTTCCATTGGATCAGTCAATGGAATGGTCAATTCTTTGAGCAAAGTTGTCTCGCTCACGTCGGACTCATCATACACCTCGGTCATGAGGGCAAACAATGTCCGGTACTTACGGATAGGTGGGACTTGTTCGAAGAAGACGAACCGGAAGACCAGCTTGAGCCTGAAGATCTACCATCTGTGTCAGGACCCGAGTTCCAGCCAAAGGAAAACACCATGGTCATCATTGACAAGTCCGGAGTTCATCGCCTCCAGGTTCGATGCTGCGATTGTCCAAATGCCATGAGTCCAGACCTTCAAATGTTTCGACATGGATTTTTCCCCTGCTTCATTTAACAAGCCGAAGACTTTATTCACCTTCAGGGTTCTCGATGATTTTCTATTGGACAACCTTGAATGTGGGACCTCGGCGATGAACTATTACAGCAAGCTCCGGCGAATGACCTCGAGGATGTTTCCACACCTTGTACCGCTAATGCCATGTCTCTCTCATCTAAAGGACATTATATTGACAAGGCATGGGGCAAGGACCGATACCGAGAGCTCATGAGAGTCGCCTGACAGTGGAGGCAGTTGAAGACGATGAAATGGCATGGCTTCGGCCATTGTTCCGACAGCCCGAATGCAGGAGATCTCGCATTATTTTGCCCGGCATGTCCTCAGCCTGGGATTAATGTGTCCTTCTCAGGGGATGAATCACCTGATGAGTGAGTCTTCCTCGATACCGAAGTCACCTCAGCAATAATAACAACTCCAAGGTGGAAATACACCCGGTCATTTGTTATGGATGGAAATTTCAAAGCTGAACACCTGCATCCCATGAAGCCATTTGATGAAGTTTGGCTGTCAGATGGGTTGGGATTCATGGTGGGAAAGGACAGGTATAACACACATCTTGCAGAGGCTGCCGACACTTTAGAAAAATCAAGCTGCAGCAATCACCGGGCAGTAAATCAAGCAAATGTGGTGTAGAGACTCGATCCTGAGTAGCCTCACAATGGCATATATTGCACTGTAGGTCGAGTCTACAATACTATGCATGCAACGCGACACTAGCGCGATAAACGCGACGTTCGCGCGACGCGCGCGACTTAGGCGACACTTCCGCGACATAGGCGACACTTGCGCGACTTGCGCGCGCTTTAGGCGAATTTTCCCGCGCCTAAGCGCTATAGGGCGCCTGACTTCCCACTGTGTTTTCCCATGTCCAACCAAGTTCCCAGGTATGCATTTCTCCATTTATCATTTATTTCAACATCGTACCATGTTTATTTTCACTTGGTACACATTTTTCATTACACATTTTTTTACTTTACACAACACACATTACCACGGACCACCACCATGATAGACAGTCACCATCTCCGAGTTTTTATTATGTTTTGAATAAATCATCGCAAAGCCCTAGTAGCAGTTAGCTCTAGTGGCCATATCCGCATCAGTTGTCTTATCAGCGTCTCAGTACACGTCTTAACATCTCACTATCGCTCGCATACCGCTTTCACCCAGTTCCGCTTTTCGACGCGCGACTATCCCGCGCTTCGCGCGCCTATAGCGCCTTTGTTCCCGCGCTTTCGCCTTATCACGCGCTTTGCGCATTCCCCCTAGAGTTGACCAGTGGATATTTGCTTTCTCCGCTTCCCCTAAGGGACGAACATATCGCACTCATATTTTCCTCCCTTCAACAATTATATCAGCTGCACCCTCAGCTGAGTTGAAGATCCTTCAGCGGCTCGGCACAAGCTGGAATCCACGGGTATCGGGGGAGTAGCCTGTGCGAGACACGGTTTGCTTTGTTCCTCACTCGATGGTAGATTTTCAGAAAGGCGAAAGGCAAGCCGACCCAGCCATTCGATATTCACGAGTTAACCATGCATCATTCGCAGACAAATGAACATGGACTATGCCCTTTGTGAGGCTGCCCGGCACAACATGGAAGGCATCACCAGGGCGGTCACCTTCTATGATATCAACTGTCAATACAAGAAGCACTTTCGGGTTCGGGTGGATCGAAGCCGATTTCTCGAAATGGTTCCGGAATTGACCATCATTCCCGGAATCGGGTTGTGGCACATCCACGGACATCAGGACAGCTGCTATGTCCGATATGCGTCAAATTTTATTGAAGGCATCGGTCGGATTGATGGAGAGATCATGGAGACCCTATGGTCACGTCTCAACCTGATTTCCCCTGCTGCTCGGGGAATGTCATCCCCGCATCGAAAGGAATGTCTCAATTATCAGATGAATGATTCCAATTTCTGCAAGATGATCCGCATGACAAGGACCCTTTGCCGAAAATACAAGCAGGCGAAGAATGGCATTGCCGAAAGTGAAAAGGCTTTCGACATACTCAATGAAGCAGCACCCGGCGATTCAAAGACAGAGTGGCTAGTCAGCGAGAGGATCGCTCAGTCCAGCAGAATAAATAATCCTGCGGCTATGGATGTATATGAGATTAATATCAAGAAGGGTTAGTTGACTTTGTCTCCATCAAAGTCTGAATTAATTTTGCATTCAGCACCGAGCAAAAAGGAGATCGAGCTTAGGCTACTAGAGGAGGGTAATGCCTGAAATGCAGCACCTGCTCGCAGGTCTGTGGCGACATGGATATCAATGGGGTTGGCGATTGAAGAGGCTCAAATCGCATTGCTCATCGAGGTCCGAAGAATTGGTAGAAGAACTAACCGAGACACAGAAGTTAGACATCGCCCGGCAACGCGATCGTCTCCAAGGCCAGATAGATGGATTCACTCGGTCTGCTATTACGCATCTCGGAGAGGGATTTGATGCAGATGAAGATCCTGAAGACTTGTACTTGGACATTCTTGATGATCTCGATGATGACTTGGCAGACTTTACCGAGACATCTGACACATGGGCAAACTCCCCTGAGCTCACTGTAATCCCATTGCCATCAAACCTCGGGGGTAGATCGATGCAGACGCTGTATGGCAGACGATCTCATTCCGCTGGAGATGTCTCTTCGTGAAGGGCAGGCCAATGACTTCCCTTCACAACCTCCGAATTCACTTGTGCAACAAGGCGATTCTGTTTCGAACAACAGTTAGGCAAGCCAAATCCCAGGCCCTGAAACTCGAGCTTGGTCCCAGGTGACGTCGGTGCAGAAGGCAGTGTCCCTCCATGCCAGTATATATACGAAGACGAGGAAGCAAATGATGCAACTGGAGCCAGGGCAAGACCAGGTTCAGAAATACAAACCCCTGCTTCGAGAGCAACTCAAAATCAGCACTGCCGTCGGCGATCCAAATGCCCGAGGTCAGCGAAACGAGTCCCTCGCTTGGTTCTGGTCAGTCGAAGTCGAACCTTGGGGGTCCCAGATCACTCGTGGAATGAGGAATGTGAGTTCGGGCATGCTTGATGTGTCCCGCGCTCAGCTGACGGAGTCATCCGAAGTTTACCGAGTTCATTGGCTCCGGGCAAAGGCACTACGGGATCGATGGAAGGAAGAAATGATGTTGGTCCAATTGGAGATGGATTGGACATGTAACTTTTTCTTGTGGAAAGCAACCCAATGGGGTGACAGGATGCGGGAATCATTGGTGAAACACCTTCCAGGTCATGCATGCTACTCGGGAAGGCAATCCCAAATGTATTCATTGCTGGCACAGGATGCCCAGGGCAGCATTTCAAGACCTGAAGACCGGGTTTATAGATGCTCAAGATGAATGAAATTTTTTTTGCCAACGATATGAAACAGCTACTTTGACCCAAACATTTTAGTCCCAGGAATTGGCTGGGTTGACCCATGTCGGAGTTTGAAATTTTTTATCAATCAACCAGTGGCTCATATCTTGACCTCCGAACCAACTGCCATTGTCATTGTCATTTCCAGCTTCATAATCCTGCATTAAACCATGTCTGTATTGCATACTCCCCCAACATCCCCTTCTAATTCTCAGACTTCCGGCAATGGGTTCCGACCCCTCACACTCACTCAGGCAGATATTGCAGCTACAATGTCAATGGCTGCATTTCGCATCCGAGCGTCCATCTCCTCAATATCAGATGGAGGCTGCCCACACCCAGGAGCCATCTGCTACTCGGATCATGCACTTTAAAGCCGGGCTGCAATGGGAGATAGCTGTAAGAGGCTGATGACTGTGGTGGTCAATGCTGACATTTCCAACAGACTTTTGTGACTCCCATCCTGCAGTACTCAGCTGCAAGGAACACTCATTTCGGTTGTTCCGAGCCCGGTTGCTCATATTCTTTCAGTTGATTCCCGAGCTCACCTGGAACATGGTTCCGGACCACTCTTTTCATCCCACCTATGCCAGTTTCAAGACGTTGCAGATCTGGGGGATCCCTCCCGCATTGTATCCACCTATGGGACTCCATGGTGGACCGGATCAAACTGCCCTCTGTTACAGTCAAGTACACCCCTATTCATTTTCTTCTCTCACATCATTGTATTACATCACGATCGCATCTTGCCGTCGCTAGATGATATATTCTTGTTATCTCTGACTCGTCTTATCTCTGACTCATCTCCATGACCTCATCATACCGGCCCTAAAGTCGTTATCGTTTACTATTTAAACTCGTCCTGTACCATGGTCCATTCTTTACTTTAATCTTACTAGGTTTTACCTGGGACTTCCTTCGCTTAAGATCTCCAATCTTAAGTCGTATTGAACTTGATTCAAGTCGAGGACACTCTCCTTGTCGTGTCTTAGAACATCGAAACTTCGGTATATGCCGAAGCCTTGAAACGACCTTGGCCAATTACTCTTAACGAGTAAGCCATACGTCTGAACTATCCTAGTTTCGTAACACCATCCCGAACGAATTATGGCCATGGGATCAGGTATTCGCTAATTGTGTCTGTCACTACCAGCATGGCTAGTAAGACTTTTACAGAATTTCCTTGAGTGATGACTAATCCTTTCTAGTCGTGGCGTTGAGGACAAACGTCTTGGTTGTTCCCGAAGCAGGTGGATGAAAGCTCGGTTGCAATGCTGAAGGCACTGAGGTGGATGAGGGAACGCCTCCTGACAGTGATTGAGGATCAACAAGCTGGCATCCGTGAAAAGATGGCAGAGATTCAGATGTACACCGCCGTCCTAACCAAATTGAACCCAAGGGACCAGAGTAGTTCTAGTCCTTCAGTTCAGAATGTTGAAGTCTAAATTTGTACATGATGAAATAAGTACTGAAATTACATACTGACTTTCGAATATCTGACCTATTGCTATATGCTGAGCCTGCATACCAAATATCGAGCATCGAGATCCAGATATCTTGAGTCCCAAATTGAGTCCCAAAACATAGAGTCCCGGATATCCAGTCCCGAAGCCCAAGATTCGAGACGAGACTTGAAACTCGAACATTGCTATGAGTTGCGAGTTTTGAGTCCCCACGAGTCCTGACAATCGAGTCCCACAGCCCGACTATCAAGTCCCAACCATCGAGTCCCAACCATCGAGTCCCGACAATCGAGTCTGAAACCCGAGTCCTGACAATCGACTCCCGAAGCCCGAGATTTGAGTGCTGACCATTGGGTATCGAGTCCCCAATATCGAGACCCAAAACCCAAGCAGCCCGAAGCCCGAGATTCGACACGAAACAAATCAAAACTCCAAACACCACGACACTTTCTTGAATCACCGAGTACCGAAACCCGAGTACCGGGTACCGAGTCTTGAAACCCGAATCCGCACTATCGAGTCCCAACTACCGAGTCTTGAAACCCGAGTCCCGACAATCGACTCCCGAAGCCTGAGATGTGAGTGCCGACCATCGAGTATCGAGTCCCTATTATCGAGACCCGAAACACGAAGCCCGAAGCCCGAGATTCAACACTCGAAACAAATTGAAACAAAACTCAAAACATGACACTCATCAATTTTGGGAGTGTTTTCTTGAATCACCGAGTACCGGTGTAGAGACTCGATCCTGAGTAGCCTCACAATGGCACATATTGCAACATAG